GGGCCCTGCCTGTCGCGAAGCGGGGTGCCCAGCCCAGCCCGCCTTTGGGCTCCTGGCGAAGGCCCGAGGTCTCCTTCATGACAGAAGCAGCAGCTGCGAAGCAAAAGTAAAGGTGTGAATAGTGCTATGCGTTGTCTTGCTTTATCTTTTTTAATACGTGTGTTACTAACTTAAACGTGTTGTGTCAGGCTGGTCTAATAAAGTGAGCTTTACTACTTTTAAAGTGAGTTGTGCAAAATACGTTGAATTAACAGAGATTTCCTGTTCTCTTCCAGGTATTGAGACAGAGAAAGCAGATTTGTATCGGGGACAATTTTTTGGTAACTTCATCCTTAGTTGTATATTTGGCAGTATATACTGACTAGTGAAATGTCCTCAAAGAAGAAAACAAAGAGGAATCATTCAGGAAATAAATTAAAGGTACGTTTTGCTCATTTGAGCAGAATTAAAACAGTAAGTGTGTTGTTGTTTCATGGTGCTTTTGTGGCCTTGGCTCTGGTATTGGCTGCACAGGTGTTAATGTGGGGCTTCATTGGGAGCTGTGCTGTGCAGTGCCTGCTGGTGCAGGTTTGGGGGGTGTGTGGGTTTTTTCTTTTTCTATTTTTTTCTTTTTTTAATAGGAGTAAGTACATCATCAAGCAAAATGGGCTACTGGCTTTCAAACAGGCAAAAGTTTGAAAACAGTCTTGTAAAACTAAAGAGAATAGCTTAAAGAGGAAGTAGTTGATGTGCCTATATTTGGTACAGTAGCAAAATTTGTGAGGTGCTATGATGTGCTAGTAAAATTAAAAGCTCAGGAAGTTGGTGTTTTCTTCTTGTAAGTCCTTTTCCATGCATGCACATAGGAGTGAGGAAAGTTACTCCCACACTTACGGTGTGAATAACACATTGATAAATATTTCATAAACTACTGCCATTCTCCCCTGCCCTTCTGCTTTACAGAAGTGTCTGTATAATACTTATAAATTCCACCTTTTATAAGAAGTTATGCATAGATTTTAATTTCTTTTAAAGGGAGAATCATTAAATTAGACAAGGATGGAAATTTATGTAATATAGAGATGAAAGAAGAAATATTGTAATGCCTGAAAAGAAAAAGGTTACAGATCATAGAAACTAGATATTAGACAATTATAAGATTTCAAAGCTTATACCCTTAGTTTTATAAAATAAGACAAAGTTGATGCTACAGTATAGTATTAAATAGTAGAATACATAAGTTTTATACCATCACTTCACTTAGGAGAAAAAAAAATAAACAGCCTGGGGGGGAAAAAACATGCTTCAAATACTTTGTATTCATAGTTCAGTAGTCAGTATGGTCCAGGTTAAATGTATATTTCTGGTCAAATGTACTTGAAGTTCATTGGCATATTTAACCTGTTTTACACTCAAAAAGCTGGATGAACTAGCTATTACTTTCATACTCATCCAGGAACACAAAGGCAGCTCCCATCCTCGTTGGAAATTGTTTTCACTAGAGGAACCAGATGTCTCAAGGATATCGAAGGTAGCAGAAACAAATCAACTCGAGGAGCTTGATGATTCATTTGGTTAGTATTAACTTCAGTGTCATTTAATGTGTAGTTTTCATGAACAAACCAAATATTTCAAAGTTTACCTAGGAAAAGGTATTGTTTCTTTGCCAGAGAAAACTATGGGCAGGAGACGCAGGGGTATTTTTGAGAGTGTATTAGGTTTGTGTGACAAGGTTTTGGTAGTGGGGAGGCTACAAAGGTGGCTTCTGCAAGAAGCTGCTAGAAGTTTCCCCAATGTCCGACAGAGCCAATGCCAGCTGGCTCCAATATGGACCT